CTGCGCCGGCGCGGGAGCCCTCGCGCGATTTCGGCAGGCGCGCGTCGGCCCGAACAATTCTTGCACCCTAAACACCATGACGGTGCCACTGAGGGTGCCACACCTCCTTCAACGCTATTCATTGCCAGACATCTCTACGCTATGTGCTCAAAGTAATGTATAGCCCGCGTCAGTGCCGTATAGCTTCGTACCAACGAAGATCCCATTGCACGCTAACGTGTAAATTGTATTGCCCCCTGCCTTCCTGCCCTGAATCTGGATATCGCTTGCACTAGGCGCTCGCACAATCTTCTGCATACGCCAGAAGTCCTTCTATCTCCTTGAATTGAATATTTACATGCATAGTGGCACTCGAAGTGCTCCTGCCCATCCACTCACGCCCAGTCTACCGGATTCCAACTGACGGCGCCTTCTTTCCCTTGATCAAGCGCGTCGAGGCTCGCCATATCCTCTTCATCCAACACGAAGTCGTAGAGCTTGATGTTCTCGGTGATACGCTCAGGCGTCGCGGACTTCGGTAGTGGCACGAACCCTCGCTGCAGTGACCATCGCAGAAGAACCTGGGCTGGCGTATGACCGGTCTGCCAGAGGTCATCAGCGGTCTCCAAGTAAACGCTTGGCATAGGACGAGACCCACTTTACCAACGACACTCTGGATGACCGGGTGGTCCATCTTCCCTCGCAGCAATGGGCAGTATGCTTGGACAACAACGTCATGCGCTCGACACCACTCGACGATCGGCCTTTGCTGGCAGAATGGATGCAGCTTGCGGAGCGGATACGTCAATAGATTTGCTCTACCAGCGATATAGCCCCCTACTCACCTCAATTTGGTTCACGGAGGGAAGCTCCAGACCAGCGTCCTTGAACTATTCTATCACGCCTCACCATTCCAGGTCACACTCCAACTGATGAAGTAGTTGGCTGTGACTCGTGAGTGGCTCGCACTCAGGATGTGGTATGTATTGTACTGTGTCACGAACTGCAGCTGACCGATATGTGCAAGATAGGCCAGTTATCTAATCGGCGCAACCCGCGATAATCCCACGGTGCGTACGTAGGAGAAAACAAGAGCGGCCGCGCGGCGCGGGTTCTTCAACTTCCGACCACGATGGCATCACACGTGGGGGCCACTCTGCAGTAGCACAAGAGGCCACGCTCATTCTGAACTCCTGCGCATACAGTAGGCTAATAACAGGACTATGGCCTAGTCTCCTTCGCAGCCTTAAACTATGGCCGACACGGTGACAAGAAGGCGCAACAGAGAGATTTTGCAACACGTATTCGGTGGCGTTTCTGTAACGAGCAACGGACTGTGAGAGCTCCAACTCCGTCGGGCAACATAGCTCCAGTCTGCCGACGGTCTGGTGCTCAACCGTGCTCAATCGCGCTCAACCAGCACTTGACCCTCCGGCCGAGCATAAGCGCTCGAAGCAGGTGGCAAGTGGGCTCAACTGATTGGGCCGAGCCATCGCCGAAACCTCTCAACACTACCCACGGGGGCTCCTCTCCGCGTACCCTGGCATCGAGCAACGGCTACGTCTAAGGCGTTCAACGCGCCACCGCCCCAAGCAGCCCCGACTCTTTCCGTGCGTGGCCTTCGAAAACGGGCGAAATCTATGGCAGACGAGGTACGCACTAGAGTTACCTTCCGAACTTCGGCGCCGATATCGGCCCGCGTGTTATCCACTGGCACCAACCCCGCTTCTCATGAGCGAACGAAGGTCCCGTGTGGTTCCATCGCTAAGTATTTGTGACCTCCGTTGTGGGCCCAGTTTGAGTAAATCCCCGCGATAGATCGCGACTTGCCTCATCCAGGACAATACTTAAACGCACGTTCAGCACTGGCGACGCGGAAATGCCACGCGGGGCACCGCGACAGCTTCTAGTAGGAGGACCCATATATGAGCGCACTATCCTCGTTCCGCTGATATGAGGCTTCGCCCTTTGTGTGACAGGTAACAAACATCGGTGTTCGTATCATTCCATCGGGTATCAGGCGCGCAGAACGAATGCTATATAAGGCGGCTGTATGCGCCTCTCACACGCGCTTGATCACCCCCATGTCATTCTTGCAAACCTTATGGAGTGTACCCGCCATTCTAGCGCTGACGTTGTCAGCGGTCCTCATTCGCAGGTTTGCGCGTTCATATGCGATATGCAAGATAGCTGGCCCTCCGAGCACGTCGTGGTTGAAGGGTATGTTCTTCGGCGGGTATGGATATCCTGAATGGACACTGACAACACCCTAAATATGTGCAGGCAATCACATTCAATTCTTGGCACGGGACGCTATGCTATTTCAAGACGAAGTTGCCGACACGTATGGTAAACTCTTCAGAATCACTGGGTACTGCGGTGTGCGTCTTATCATTGTTTGCTTGGTGAGTGCACGGCTCACCTATGCTATAGGAACAGAAGCTTGTCATTTCGGATACGAAAGCGTTGCACGTCGTCCTTGTGAAGCAACTGGACACATTCGATGCCCCAGAGTACTATCTTGAGTGAGACTTTCTGTCTGACGCGTTGAGAGGGGTTGATTGAACTATGTATAGGCTCCGTCGCTTACTGTTAGGACGAGGTGTCCTCTCCGCTCCGAGAGCAGGTGAGAGCCAGTACCGGTATATTGGTTGCGTGTCTGATACGGTATATGGCGACTAGGCGGTGTTCACGCTAAACATCGCAAGCTACTCAATAGCGCTTTTGCCATTGCTCATCTGAAGACTATGGTGCCGCTCTTCCATGCAATATGCAAGCAGGTCAATTCTCTAAGCTCAACTTGCCGTAATTCAGCTCACTGTCAGCCCCTTTGCGCAGCTCTGTGAGGTCTTAAAGGGGGATACCGAACATGCTGATGGCGGCGAGTTGGACGTCTTAGACTACCTGGGCCGCGGTGCTTTAGAATTGATTGGGCAGGCGGGTTTCGGCTACGCGTTCGATGCTCTGAAAGGAGGGAGCCATGAATTCAGCGATGCTCTCAAGCGAATAGTGTGCGTTCGCATACGTCTTTATCTTTCATAAATCAACTCAAAGCTGCATAGTCCTGCAGTAGCCAAAGTCATGAAGTTCCGTCCTCTGGTTCCCTACTTGACACGCACATTCTCCTCGAGGGTTTTACGGGTCATGGGAGAGCTTCTGCCGATGGACTCAGTTCACAACGTGATGAAGCTCTCGGATATAATGAAGTTCTACGCGACGTCAATCTGGGAGGAGAAGAAGCGCCTCCACGCAGAAGATAAAATGGGCGATACAGCATCGAGTTCGGGACGCGACATTCAGAGTATACTCCGTACGTCTATGGTCTTACCTTCATAGCCAATTGTGCCAATTGTCATCCCAGTACGAGAGAATAGGAAGGCGTTTGAGGACGACCGTCTGCCAGACGATGAACTACTAGCCCAAGTGAACACATTCTTATTCAGCGGCACTGACACAACTTCGAATGCTCTTGCGCGTATCTTGAAATCATTGGCGGACGATCAAAGTGTTCAAGACACGTTGCGAAGGGAGCTTATGGAAGCTACGGCACTGCACACGAGCCTCGATTATGAAGTACTCGACCGCCTGCCATATCTGGATGCTGTTTGTCGCGAAACTATGCGACTCTATCCGCCGGTCCGTCTTATGCATCGCGTGTGAGTGTAGTGTTTGTTGAAACCAATAAGCGGGACTCCTGATGACGAGACATCTAGTGCAGGGCGAGATGCTGTCTTACCTCTGCAAGACCCAGTCCGCGATGTTGACGGTAACGTCTTATCAGAAGTGTTTGTTCCGAAGGGCACAGAGGTCATCTGCAACATTGCGGCAGTCAATCAAGACTTTGGTAGCTGGGGAGCGGATGCGAGAGAGTGGAAACCCGAGCGCTGGCTGACCCCGTTGCCTGAAAGTGTCACTGATGCTCGTATACCTGGTGTACTATCTAATTCGTGAGTTTGCCGACACCCTCCGACGTCTCCTCACGCTCACATATCTTGCCAGACTTGCGTTCTCTGGGGGCGGTCGGGCTTGCATGTCAGTAACATTAGTTTATCACAATGCATGCATCACGGCTGATTGCTGCTTCTCAGCGGATTCAAGTTCTCTCTGCTTGAAATGAGTGAGTCCCGTTGTCAGAGCCTCTACTCCCTTCCATTCACCAAGTCGTGACAGAGGCCATGCTTGCTCAGTTCATTCCTGACTTGCGCTTCGAGCCCTCGAATAACTGTGAGATCGTGTGGAGGTACGGGAGTATCGTCACCCCCAGTACCAGCGTAAATGGGATACCCCAGCTTCCTCTTCGCATTTCCCAAGTATAGAGTACACGATGCCGGATGAGTGAAACTTCATTAGCGAGAAATCCAGTATCTCTACCCTAAGGTTGTAATGATGCCACACGCCTCATGGATCCCGGATAGCACGAATAGGACATAATACTCCCTTCATTGAACAGTTCAATGAGCGCTTTTCTGATCATACAATGTGGTACTTTGACTTTGTACCTTCATGGTTCACGTTTCCGATGGAAGTTGCGTCGCAAGGGTGCGAAAATAAGGCGCGTCCGAGTCGCGCTCCCTAGCTACTTATTGGGCGACGCGTTCAGCGATGACGCGACTTGCCTCATACCCTCATCATCCCGACATGGCGCGCCCGCCTTCTCTCCTAACCGCCGCGCATATACCTACGCCTTCCTCCTCGCTGCCGGCGCCTCTTCTACCACGCGGTATACTCGACAATCGAAGCCGCACGCTGGGACAGGTTCGCCGCGCGGAACGATCAGCTGACACCGTTGACCCAGAGATCAGAGGCGCGTGCCCCCGAGCGCGAACCGACCTGCGGTTTCGAAGCGACGCGTCGTCTACTTTGCAACTCGCGCCGAAAGACCTGCCCCCACCCGCGCGTCTAGTGGCGATATCTAATATGCTCCGTCTCCCATATGATGCACTCCGCCCGTGTGCTCTTTGGCGTTAGTTGCGCACGGTTCACAGTCAAACTGTCTCCATGTCCGAACCCGAACCCTAGTGAGAGGACCACGATTGACAGCACATATGATATACTAACCTCCGTTATCAGTGCAAGGACCGGCTCGCGCACATCGTAGAGTACGCGTGCCTTCTTGGGTCACTGATCTTGGTCTCATCAAAGAACGCGTATATCCGCCCTTACCCGCTGCGTACAGTACGTATCTCCATGAATGTCGCATTGACCGCACTGACACTATCTATGTTGGCACCCAGTGAGTCGGGCTCGGACCCGCGCCGAACAAGCCGCGTCCAACTAGCGGCTTCCAGCCCAAGAGCAAGTCCGCTGCCGCTGCCGGCAAGACCGGTTGCGAGTCTGGTCGCGTAGTTGTGACAGTGGTCGCTTTTGTCGCTCTTCGCAGTACAAAGAGAATTTCTATTTTTGAACATTTGAACATGGGAATATGGAACCATTTCGGCTGCATAGAAAGTAAAAAAAGATCATAAGGCTGCTTCGGAATGACAGTGGTGATTGTGAAATGGCAATCGGCGCGGAGGCGATTCGAACCCAAGACCGCGAGATGATTGCGTGAATGTCGTCCCGGGCCCCCCAACGGGACCAGGAATGACCAACGTCGCCGTCGTAGTGGTATCGTCGCTACGCCCATATCCCAGATGTGACCGGCTTACTCCGCATGATACCTTACATGGACGTTGTGTGTGCTTAGGTGCTCGGTGACTGACTAGAAAGCATGCTACGGACACACGCCCCAGATCCATCATCGACGATCACACAAGCGAGAAAGAGTAGTGCATAGTTGCCTAGCTGGCGGAAGAAATCGTAAAAGGGTTGTACATTGTTTGATCTCTGCTATATTCTCATCTATACTGCATGCAACTTACTTATAACTGATCCAGGAATTTCAGGGAAAGACGACAGTCCAATGACATGCTCGTATTCGCTACCAGGGCTTAGTGCATTGCCGGAATCGCTGCTAGAGTCGCCCCCAAAGAGGCTTGCCTGTATGTCACTACCATCAGCTGCGCAATTCGATAAGTGCTTGACAGCCATACATACCTTACTCTTATCATCATCACGCCCCACGTTATCGTTACGACTATTGTTGTGCCTTTGAATGCTGAATGCCGAATGCTCGGAGAATTCGCGGCGGCCATCGACATGTTGCACCCGGTCTGGTGGTGTGCCATGATGCACATCTACTATACCAGTCAAGGGGATGTCAGGATCGGACTTCCCGTGGCCTCTCCAACGAGACAGGATGCCTGCGGCAGGGCGGAAGGCTGATAGGGCGGAAGGCTTTTGCCGAGCCGAGTCGTCCCTGCGAAATAGTCGACCATTGAGTGTCGAGAGAAAACTATTCGAGTATCTTTTGAATCGATGTTAGAGAGTATCGTGTACAATCATACTGAGATGCTCACAGTTTTCCTATGACAATAGCTCTGCAGCTGATCAGTAGGAAGCCCAAAGCGTAGATGACAACCGCAGCTGTTCTCACGGGACGAGGTAATAGCGGTTCTGGATTTCCCAGAGGGCGAGGCAGGCTCCCGCGGCGATGACAGTGACCATGCCAGTTTGCACAGTGTTCATGATCAGGCGATCATACAAGGTTTGGGATTGTGCCCAGATAGTGCGGGTCCGAGCACGATAGAGCTCATGACAGCCCACTCTCAGCAACTACAAGGATGAATGGAGAAAATGGAACTCACGAGCCAAACCATACAAGACGTGATCAAAACATCGGCCGCAAAACTTCCCACAAGCCATAGCAGCACCTAAGAGCCCTCTATCATTGATACTACCAGCATGCAAAGCAACGTACGTCAAGTTTGGCTATGTCACTGTGAAGGAATGCGATACTGCCATGGTGCCTGTATTGACTGAGTGACTGCACTGGGTGTTCACTCGATTTGAGCGGCGAGGACAGATTGAGAACATACAATGAAGTCACCGTGTATTGACACAGCAAATTGCATCATAGAGAGCTGACAATCATGGTCAGTAAGTTGCCCAGGTAGGAGCACATCACTGGAAACGGGACAAGGAGCACTCACCATCACAATGATGCACGTGAGTACTCGCATCGTCTTTGACTGCGAGAGGACCCAGATACGCCTATCCGGACTTCAATATGGACGCAGTGATATAAGACTTCCCGATATACCAAGCGTAAAAGAGTTGCACCGCAAAGGCAACTAAAGTAAGTCAATAGCGGTATAAACTCTCAGCTATCCGGAACGTACTGGACCCTCCGAAAATGAGAATAAGAGATTGACCTAGTGTTAGTTGTAATAGTGCCGCGTCGTTTCCCCATACATCGATAGAGAAGAACCAGAGGTCGCGAGTGGTGATGATAGCCTGAACAGTGTCTACTAAAGCGATGATGTATACTAAGGTGAGACGGATGAGTGATAGGCCGGAATTTACGCCAGAGAACGTCACGCACCCAATGCTCTTAACCAGACCGCATCCTTCACTTTCTGCCGGCCAGTTTCATAGAGGTCTGTACTCTTGTGAGTGGTCGTGGATCGAAGTCATGCGTAAAAATGGATTTACATATCTGCACGGCAAGAGTGCCGAGTAGGAACCAATTGATGTTACAGCCGGCGAGCTTGTTCGAGTGTAATCGTTAGTTGTGCTATTTCGCCTCCGTAGCTGCGGAGCTCACGTAAGGGCCAATGCTATGATTGGATCAACTCAGTATGGCCAACACAATGACTCTTGGCTTGGGATACACCTACAATGAAGAAGGTTCGACGTCCATTGAAGCAGGGTTGAAGGAGCAGAGCTGTCTATCACGGTTATGTTGGGGGCCGAGCGAATAGCCAGGAATGCCCATGAGCCTCGTCGGGCCTCGTCTCTATGTAATGAGATTCAACACAGCCTTTCGGCGGCAATCTCTCCCGCAAGAATCTCCTACCAAAGCACAGATATCATCGATTGTTTGCATCTTGACAGGTCTTCCAGTACGAGAAGTGACTGCCCACCAGAAGTACGAAGAAGGTATGAGCAAGACTCCCAATCGCTGCGTGGAGTACGGAGCTCGGCTCCCGATGGGATTCTTCAACACGCCGGGTTGATCGCATCGTAACTTACAGAAGCAAGACGCTGGTCTGGGCTTGTGGATGTGGCCTCTTTGTCGATGAATTCACGAGGCAACGCAAATATAGATTCGGAAGAGGCTACGCGAGTTTGGTGCGGCCCGCGGCGAGATCGAGGGCCCGAGTTCCACGAGGCTGAGCACCTTGGACTTCGCGTGTACATAATCCATAACCAGACTAGCTGAAGCAGATAACGAAGAGGTCACGTATGCGATTCGCGTGGAAGAACCGCAGAGTTATCACATATCGAAGGAGGCTGTAGTCGTCGACCCCATCCATTCGTCCGCACATCACGCCAGATGGCAGACGGTCGCCGTGATGAAGGAAGGAGCCAAATGCCAATTGGTGCTTGTGGCCGTCGTCGGCGGCCGACGTCATCACGTGTACCCGGCGCCACGGACACAACGCTGCGTCGTGCGATGGCCATCGGTCGAGGCAACAGCAGGGTTCAACTACAGTGCGTTGCATATGATCTTGCACCTCGTCCGTTGCGAAACTTCGTCCAGTCGCGCCTGCTCATTTGATCCCATGATCCGAAGGGCGTCTGTGCCTGCTGCCGCCTGCCGTCCCGAACGCGGTTCTCCTTCGTCTCTTGAGCAAATGACCTCGAAAATTCTACCAGATAGTAACTGCATGTTGACGAGTACAACGTGAAAAGTATGGGTCACCAGGAGCTCGTCCAATTCCTAGCCAGCCCCGCAAGAATTGACACAACAGTTCCCACAGATTACCATCAATGAATTGGTGCCTGCTTTGTCGAACTTTTGCGACGAGCGAGGTGCAAGATCATATGCAACGCACTGTAGGCCTTGTCCGCGAATACGTCCCGGTGGGGCGTACCGCCCCTTCGCGCGATGAAGTCTCTACAAAGCCAAATTGCTTGGGAAAGCAAGCCGCGTCCCGAAGGGAGTGAGCGCTAGGGGCGATTCATGGCATCTTCATCCCCCCCGTGCAGCCTGTAAACCTCAGGTTTACTTAGTCGGAGATGTCGGAAAGCAAAAGATGTTCCCAAATCCGGATCCAATAGTGACTATTATAGTGAAGATTCGGAGCCACTTGATTGTGCCGCTTCTAAGGCAAAAGGTCAGCTGCCATGAATCGGTTTCCAATATGCCTACACGAAGGAAACATTCAGAGCTCACTACGGGTACAAATGTGGTCTTATAGTCCATCCAAGTGAACAGAAGGGCTGTACGCGCGATCATCGATCAAGCGGCATCGTTGGAGAGGTTGCACGGGGCGGATAGTGCTGTTTTGCATGGTTAGGCGCACTGCAGGTGACTGCCCGGTGAGTCCGCATGGGCTTACAGGAGTCCTTGGTAAGTAGGGCTTGCGTCTATCCCTCGGCCGAGAAGTCATTCACGAACGCAAAACGTACCCGCGAAAGCACAGCGGCCTATGACCAGAGTTTCGCGGGACATGCATCACAGATCAGATCAGCGGACAGCATCGCGAAGAGATGGCGCGATCATGAGAGTGCGCAAAGATGTAGACTCCTAAGTACGACCTAGTACAACAAGGACTTTCGGCACATGCATGACAGGACGCATCTGTACTTCTTCTCCCGCTGCCATTGCCGCATCTTCGGAAGGATGCGCGCGCGCCAATGTAGGAAGATGTCTAGTGGTGCCCGTGCAATATGAACACGAGCCGATTTCAACCCGGCTGATCGGAGATGAACTGGGTTACGAACGAGTACTGACAACGGATGGATGTACAGGTTAAGGCCAGCAAGCACGGGACTGGTTTGACGAGGAGCATGCTCCCGGTTGGTCCCTCCGAAGTGTATACATCGTATAGGATATGCGTTCTGCCACAGTCAGCAGAAAAGATGCCAGACTGGGGCCTTCGGGGCGATACGCTGGACCGAGGAAACCGATAAGGTTAAGCTGGCGGATCTGCAGGGCCATGGAGGGGAAGCGCATGGGTGGCGAGATGATGGAATAGAGATCGCACGACGATAGCGCGAGGACAGAAGTTTGTCTATTCCTAGCAAGGCCTAATCTTAATCTGACAGGGAAGAGCCTGCGACCGAAGTCACCGAACCAATGAGTACCTTAGGCGTAGAGTGTGCTGAGTAAGGGTACGAGGGATCATGGTCATTCTGATCCATCCCTCGTGATCTTGGCTATGCCTGCGCGGTAACGAACCCATGTTGACTGAATGGACATGATACGACACAGCAAACCTCCAAGCTCCAGTCTGGAATATAGTATTATCAGTATGTGGATATGTACATGACATCATGAGCGTGCACCCCGCGAGTTAAACCAAGCATGGCGTCGGATAGCTCCCCATCGGATAGAGTCTCCGCCCAATTGCAAAGCTCGCCTCGTCCGCTGGCTTGACAGAGTACTCATAACCCATCTGCTGGGGACTTATATGGAGAGCGGTGTCTCCCTTTGCTACTATAAGCCTGCTCCAGCCGTTCCTTCCTCCCCTGATGGACTGGAAATGATGAGAGGGGGCTCAGAGCTTGGGCTGGCCAACAGATTTGCCTACATTGAACCGACCCTTTTCATTCTCGACAGGCGGAGGCACCCGACACGATTGTCCGCGAGCGCTTAAGAAAAAACTGGGCGCAGCGTCCTTCGAGCGCGCCGCAACTGCACTCCCATAAGAGCGGGATCGCGATTTGACGGATTGGTGACAACTGGGGCTACCGGATCTGCGGTTCAGGGGCGAGTCTGCGAAGTCGAGCGAGCTTGCGCCGCCATCTGCTCTTTTCTTTGGCTCCAGAGATTCACTACGGGCGTCTTGGGCGGCGCCGAAGACGATGATGTAGATGTGGCGTCCATGGGCGCGTGTTTGTCGTCGGACGAGGGGTCGGGCACATCGGCGCGTGGTGCGGCCGGTGTGGTGGGTTCAGCCGGCGCTGGAGACGGCTTTTTCGCGCGATCAGTATCCGATGTCGATGCCATCGTTGCCAGAATTTTTCTAGCGAGGAAGATGCGAGAGGGGAACTCTGCTGGTCGAGCAGAAGAGTCTGGCAAGACGCGTCACGCGTACGCCTTCAGAGGGTTCTCGAGATCGGCGGTGCCTTCAGGGGATCCTTCAGACGGCAGAGATGAGAGTAGGAAGAAAGCAGCAAAAGCAGCCGCCAAGGATCCTCGAGCTGAGGTGTAGGCGCAGAGCAAGTGAGTGTTCCCGTCAAGCTCAAAGACGCCCGAATTTCTGCGCCGGCGCGGGAGCCCTCGCGCGATTTCGGCAGGCGCGCGTCGGCCCGAATAATTCTTGCACCCTGACCACCACCATCACGGTGCCACTGAGGTTGCCACACCTCCTTCAACGCTATTCATTGCCAGACATCTCTACGCTGTGTGCTCAAAGCAATGTGGAACCCGCGTCAGTGCCGTATAGCTTCGTATCAACGAAGCTTCCATCGTATGCTAACGTGTGACTCGTATTACCCCTTGCCTCCCTCCCCTGAATCTGGACATCGCTTGTATAATTGTCTGTAAACGCCAGAAGTCGTTCTTTCTCGTTGAACGGAATATCTACATGCATAGTGTCGGACGAAGTGCTCCTACCCATCCAGTCACGCCCAGTCTACGGGATTCCAACTGACTGCGCCTTCTTTCCCTTGATCAAGCGCGTCGAGGCTTGCCATATCCTCTTCATCCAACACGAAGTCGTAGATCTTGATGTTCTCGATGATACGCTCAGGTGTTGCGGACTTCGGTAGTGGCACGAACCCTCGCTGCAGTGACCATCGCAGAAGAACCTGAGCTGGCGTATGACCGGACTGTCAGCGGTCGTCAGTGGTCTCCAAGTGAGCGCTTGGCATACTCAGGTCGAGACTCACTTTACCAACAACACTCTGGATGACCGGGTGGTCCATCTTTCCTCGCAGCAAAGGGCAGTATGCTTGGACAACGATGTCATGCGCTCGACACCACTCGACGATCGGCCTTTGCTGGCAGAATGGATGCAGCTTGCAAAGTGCATGCGTCAATAGACTTGCTGTACCAGCGATATAGCCCCATATTCACCTCGATTTGGTCCACGGAGGGAAGCTCCAGACCAGCGTCCTTGATCTCTTCCAGATGCTTCAAGCCGCTACAATCATATTAGCACTCTATGCGTCATCTTGACACCACCAGCTTCATACAAGTTGGACACTCCGACATCTCGGATTTTGCCCTCATCACGCGCTTTCAGTAGGGCGCGATATGTGGCGAGACGTTTCTCTGTCCGAGACATGGGATCATGTATGAGGAAGAGGTCAATATATTCTGACAGTCGATGTCAATCGTAAAGTAAAGAGGCTTGAATATAACACTTTACTGAATTGAAAGCGTTGTAACGATGCGTCTACACCTGCGATAGTGCTATCGAAGCCATGCGTCTTATTGATGCACTTGGTCGCTGAGAAGTTAATTTGACAATTGTGAGCAATGAAAGGATGCGGGCCGGGAGCCCATTGGACTCACTGACGAAAACCTCATCTCTTGGAATCTTGCTGTTTCGTATGCCTTCACCGACATGAGCTTCGTTGCGATACGCCTGCGCGCTATCGATATGTCTAGTGAGGAAGCGATGAACAACAGATCCGATGCCAATATACACGAGCACTGACCTATACCCGGCCTCTATAGCCTGGAGAACAGATGTGGCTGTAGTATAATTCTGGTAGACACCGAATCCGAGCAAAGGCATCGAATAGCCTGGCAATGAGATTGATCGCATGTAACTTAGCTCATCGATTGTTAATGAAGACAATGCAAGCCCGTGCGACCTACCCGACTTGAGGCGTATTGAGGTCGTTGGCGAAGACATGGTGGTTCTAGTAAAACAGATGGACTCCCGACCTGCGAACAGAGCCAACCGGCCCATAGGAACTTTGCGATAAAAATGACCACCGCAGGGGTCGAACCTGCAATCTCCTGATTACTCATCGTAGTCAGACGCGATGCCATTTCGCCAGGCGGCCATACATTCAGAGATTGGGATAATTGGCATTGATTGTATCAAAGACTTTCACGCGCAGTGTCCAGCATAGATTACTCAGCCTGGTGAAGTGGAGAGCGCCTCGCGGCTAGACAAGGCAAGGTAGCAGAAGGCAGCTGGTGATATGCGGCAAGGACATGCGTGCAATATGGAATATCGTGTTCTGATCCGCACGGAATGTGTCCATCGTGGTGGCCCTACGGTGGGCGCTTGATGAGTGCAGGAGGAAAGCGCGGACAAGAGCGGCACGCTGGGCGCCTTCTTCAACTTTTGACCACGATGGCACGTTGTCAGTTGGGCGCCCTTCTCACCTCCATCAATACTGTTCCCAGTCCCCTCTGTGCAATGGCTGTCTATATGCTATGTGCGAAGTGGGATACCTAGGTCAGGTGCATCGCCCATTCGAGTCCGGCACTTCTCTACCGGACCTCCTCGGGTGCCATGGTTCTAAGATCAATCTCAGCATCTTTGCTCGCCGCTCTGCACCAACGTGTTGCGCACGCATGTGTGGGCTGCAGTGTATGCCCTATCTGCACTTACTGCGCGCGCGCGATCGCATCTTCTGGCCTGGCAAGACGCTCGTGCGGGGAATTGGCATTACACCAGCCCCGCACCACGCCACCGATACACGACACCCCTCAATCTCTGTGGATGTTCTCTACCACCATTAGACCACGCAGTACGGCGTATTTGCTACATGCCTCTGTCGCGCATGAGCCCGGCCTCCGACCCTGTTTCGATTATGACACCTATAAAGTCGGCAGACTGAGACAGGAGTGGTAGTACGCTACTTACATCGCCATGGCCGCACTTCTCTTTCCCCGTCTCCTCGCGCGCGCCATCACAAGCGCCATGAACACTGCTATTACTACTTGGCGCAAACGCCTCTCGCGGTTGACTTATCTCCCTGTACTTGTGCCCTGTTCTACTTCTTATTCCAAACTGCGTGCTGGCGATGGCACTATCGACGGACAAACGTACGTCCTGCCAAGCGCAAGCACAAGAACGAATGCTCACTTTATGTTCCACTTTTTCTAGGTCTACAGAGGAAGAGCAAGTACCTGCATATGGCAGGTACGTGTTATCAGCTGCCGTTTCTGTCCTTTGCTCACTCTCGTGAATGCATGTAGTCATGGTGCATTTCCCATTCAACACACTGCCGATGATGGCATGACTATAGGTCAAAACTACTCGTGAGTGGGTCTTCTTCGGTGTTCGCCGGATGATCGCTGAATTAATGTTAGAGTAGCTCAGCAGCTACCATATGAGATACTGGTTCAGATCTTCTTGGACGTCGGAGAGGACCTCAGGAAGGAGCGGGGAGGGCCTTTCTTTGGCGACCAGTGTTATGCCCATCCGGCCTTCCGCATGGTCTCTTTGAGCCACGTTTGCTATCGTTGGCGTAGCGTTGCCCTGGACCAGAGCGAATTCTGGGCTCGCAACGTCACTTCGTTCAGCCGTGCACCGCGCGAAGAGCTCGTCCGGCGAGCGCGGGGCCTCCCCATCGATGCTCTTCTACATGTCTCGCGCAATCAGCGCCCATTTGAAGACCCGGACTTCGGCTTCATTCACGCCCACATTCGCGCCTTCAGGTCTCTTTCGCTGTGGCTACCCGAGTTCGCTTTGCCGGCATTCGGACTGGTGCTTCCCGCTCTCGACACACAGCCCCTCAATGTGCTGGAGTCTCTTGAAGTCACATTGTATGACGCTCACCCAGGCGTCCGCATGCAGGAGTTTCGCGCCCTTCCACCATTATGCACTCCCTCGCTGCACACAGCCATATTCAGAGACTGCTTCTTGTTCCTCGAGGCTCCCAACCTGGTCACGCACCTCGAGATCATCTTCCGGCGCTGCTATCGTGCCAACACTGAGGGCGCTTTGCTCACACCTGCCGAACTCTCAGCAGTCCTCACATCATGTACAAGCCTGCGCCACCTTCGCCTTGGGGACGAGCTGCCTTTGTTCAAAGCCGGAGCAGCGCCTATAGCCCTCCCTCACCTCGAAAGACTTGCTATAGAAGGCTCCTCCGGTCGGTGCGCACGCCTTCTGGAGGTCCTCGACTTCCCCAAGGCCGCGAGTGTACGAGTACGTGGGCATAACGTGCCCTCGCCCAGCACCCTAGAGGACCCTCTGCCACGGACCAACATCTTGCGGGCGGTGGAAGTCCTTCATACGCGCGAATGTACCGCAACCACCACTCTACGTGTCTTCCCGGGCATGAGTTTTGAACTCATGCGCGAGCGATCACGGGTCCGTGGTGAGGGCGTGCACATCGCATTTGAGCATTTCGAGCGTGGTCCTCCGATCATCGAGGTCTTGCAGATGTTCGCACTCGCGCAGGTTCCGGTGCGCAGCCTGCAGGCCGACAATGACACAGCTCTCGACGGGCTTTGCATGCTTCTGAAGCCGACTGACGATGTTGCTGACGGCGCAGAGGAAATATCATTCCCTGATCTCGAAACAATACAGTTGTCCGGCACAAGCACTCGCTTTGTGCTAGAGTGTGCCGCGGGTCTGCTTGCTGTTCAAGAACGGCGATGTCAACTCGAGCGACCTCTGCATGCGCTCATTTTGTCGTATCCTTGTCCCGAATGGGCCCTTATAGAGGAGACTCCGGCAATCCAAAGCCTCCAGCGCCTGCTCTTCATACAATATACCGATGCTACGGCTTACGCTGCTTCTCTTCCGTCATAATGATTATTCATATCGTATATCATTTGCCTGCGATTCAAAACCAGTTGAGCGTACTCAACGTATTGTATCCGGGAGGGTGATAACAAGGCGGAAGTATGATGATACGGTAGGATATTGCGAAAGCCGATCCAGAAGCAGCGCCCGTCGGCTTCTGGTCTGATGCCAGAAACGAAAGATATCACTCGGATGGCGAACCGTCGCCTCTTCAGCAGATGGTGTGTATCGGTGTGCCAATTGCGTGAGGTCACTATGCCCATCGACGTACAAGGCAAGAGCAAGGAAGGGACGAGAATGCGAATGGCGTTGGGAGCTGCACTTCGGCACCTGCCGCGACCTTTCTGATGCCACTTGCGAGCTTCTTCTCTTACAACCATGTGCTTGCCATACACGCCTCGACTCAAATCACCGAGAATCCCATACCTGCTTCCAGTTGGACGCGAGCTGAAACACGATTGCTCGATAGAACTGAAGCTCGGTACGCTTACGCAATGAAGCTCGGGGAATTGAGACGTTCGAACTGGGACGGAACAAGGAATCCGATCCTCATCATGCTATCTTCGCTGCTCATGTACACCGCAAAGGATACTCAAGGCCTTTTCTACAATAGAGCTACTCGAAGCCGGTCATTCAAGATGACACCGCCGCCCGGAGCTGATACCATTGCAGGTGACGAGAGGCGAAAGATGTGAACGGGTGCTTCTGGAGGTTTCGGTGCGGGTAACCCGGTACGATAACACCGCAACTATACTGCGGCGCAACTTGCTTCCTACTGTCACGGCGAGGAGACCTGGTCAGCCTATAAGTACAGGAAGCTGCGCTAACCGACTGGTAGTTATGACAGCATTTCGCTTATTTGTGACCATGTCCGGTTTGCTTCTGGCCTTCTTCGCTGCGTATTTGGAAGCAGTGAGGCAAGAACCCATCATTGCAGCCCCCCGAACTGACGCCATCGCCATGTAGTCCATTGTATCAACGGCACTCGAGACTATCGCAGCCGCTCTGCATGCCGATGAAGTGGTCTGGCTCGGGACGGCCTATTCGATAGCCTTCACTGTACTGTTGCCTCTCACTGGTGGTCTTCTCGATGTACGTAGCCCCGCGCAACAGGCATGCAATCTATATGCTTACATCCCGCGACAGGCGCTTGGTCGTAAACCGATCATGTTTGGAGGGCTTGTCATCTTCACAGTAGGCTCTGCACTTGGTGGCACAGCTCAGACAATGCCGTGGCTGGTGGGCGCTCGATGTATGCACTGTTCTAGAAGTCTCGAACTGCGCTCACTTCGCATGTAGCCCTCAGCGGCCTCGGTGCCGGTGTAATGGGAACAGCGGGTATGGTGGTCGTAGCCGATCTGATACCGCTCAGCAAGCGCGGTTTCTTCGTAGCTGTCGTTGGAGTGTAAGCTTGTTGATCCCATGTCGTGCTGAAGGTAGATCTGATTGCCTCTTAGCGTTATGTGCCTCGGTATCGGGTTTGGGCCCCTCATAGGAGGTAACTACTCGACTACGAAGACATGATACCATGGCGCTGACGAGACGACAGGCGCACTGTCCGACGCTGGTCAATGGCGATGGTGCTTCTTCATCGTCGCACCAATCTGTGGCTCCGCGGCACTCATTGTACTACTATTCTTCAATTTACCCCTACCGAGCGGAAACACGCTGAAGAGAATTGGTGATGTTGACTGGATGTAAGCTTCATAATTTCAGGCGTACAGGGTGCAAGCGCTGATTATGCGCAGTGGCACTGTTCTCATCGCGGGAGGCTCGACTACGGTCATTATCGGCATCACATCGGGCGGCATACAGGCTCCCTGGTCCTCTGGCGAAGTCGTCACGCCTCTGGTAGTGGGCGCAGCGGCTATGGCTGCCTTCTTCATGTATGACCTCATCATGGCAAAGAACCCACTCGTACGTGCAAAAGCAGACGAGACGAGCAACACTGTGCATGCAATGATCCGTCGCCTAGGTGCCGAAGGTTGTGCTCTCGAACCGTACGAGCCTTAGCGGCTACGTTCAGACATTCGTGCTATCGATACCCTATAATGCCATCTTGTGTACGTTTCATGTTCCCTGTCTCATTCACTGTCAGTGCCATCGCTCACATCTTTTGATAGACTACTTGCCTGTTTACTACCAAGCCGTCCAGAACGCGTCACCAACAAAGTCTGGCGTCGACATTCTCTCGATCACATTCACAGTCCCACCCATGACGATCCTCTCCGGCATCTATATCTCGCGCTTCAAGTCATACCGCCTCCCAATCTGGCTCGGCTGGATACTGCTCACAATCGGCACCGGTCTGCTCTCCTCTTTACACACCGACTCTAGCCGCGGCGCGAGCATTGGCTACCCGGCCATCATCGGCATCGGCATCGGGCTGATCTTTAGTTCGTTGCAATTTCCTATACTCGCGCCCTTGAGCGTAGAGCTGAACGCGAGGGCGCTGTCCCTTCAAATATTTCTCCGCGCGTTTTCCCAAACGTGGGGTATTGCCATCGGTGGAGCGATCCTGCAATCTCAACTTGTCCGACGCCTTCCCGCGAGCGTGATCCCGACAGACGCCAGCAGGTCCCAGATCGCGTTCGCACTCATCCCGTCTATCTCGAGTTTGCCACAGTCAGAGCGCGACGCCGTGCGCGTCGCGTTCGCAGATAGCCTATCTATACTGTGGTGGGTCCTGTTCGGGATCACATGCGTTGGGCTCGTCTCGAGCCTTGCGATGGGAGACCATAAAATGGCGGATAAAGTGGACAAGAAGTGGCAAACAAAGGAGAGAGGAGACGCTCATGAGGCCGCAAGGGAGGAATCGGCTCCGCCGGGCAGCGAGAAGCAGATTTCGGACGACTGGGTGACCGTCCCAACGCCAGAAGATAAGCCCAAGAACTAGACCGTGTATTCGATCGGCCGTGTATCTCCACACTCAAAGCCTCTCAACTCCTCTCGTAGTATTGCCTGAACATCCAAGTGATCATCCGCTCTTTACTTTGCAATCATAACACGGGCACGGGTTTTGTCCTCACATCTGGATCGATTATCAAGGAAGATAGCAGGCTGCATTCATTGGTAGCGGCGCTCGCGAGTGGCATTGAGCAAGGGCTGGTCGGCTGTAACTCGTGTGCGAGCGTGTATGGCGCGAGGAGAGAGATAACGAGAAACAACGACATGGTCTTCACCAAGTCTTCACTCATTGGATGAGAGCGGGCGGTGACCGGTCCGTGACTCCGAGTAGCCGCTGACTGCGGCAAACCGGCGAGCCCAACTTGAACCTTGGACTGATGCGCCCACCTACGCAGGCAGACCCACCGATGCATTCGTTGTTTCATACAAAGCCTCGGTGTTGTCGGTTATCTGAAACTTAAAACCCGTATGTCGAAGGTGATGGAAGGAGCGTGGTACCTTAAAAATTCGAAAATCAGCAATTAACTCACGCTACAAGACTGGCGCAGCTGGTAAGGTCAACGCCTGACAACCTCATCTCACCATTGAATACACTGCTTACCATGGAGCTCACTCAAGAGTACAGCGAAGGGTTCTCAATGTGTCTCTCGAAACGTGCGACTGAGCGTATGGGCTACTGACGACGCACTCGGTTGCAGCATATCAATAGGAACAAGGTCGAAGCCGATAGGTATGTGGTCTGTCTATCCCACTGCAGTCTATGCCACTCTATCACTATCTCTGATACAGGCTCGACGTTCTCAATGTCCGCATGCACGGTTTCTTCGGAGGCAAGCTCACTGTTGAACCCATCAAGCTCTCCGGGATCAAAACAGTGCTTGAGCTAGGGTTCGTACCGTCGTCCGTCATGCCTACGCTAGAACTCAATCGCAGTCTTTTAACCTCTTAGTGCTGGAAGCGGCGCATGGTAGGTGTAAATGTCGAGCCTCTGAGAGCGAATCTCACTGTCACCCTTTAGGTCGCTGGATGCGGCGACAATCCTTCCCGAGGCAAAGATTGTGGCATGAGATGTAGCGCCTCTTCCGGACGGCATGTACGCCCTTTCCTCATAACGTGTACTACACGAACATGACAATCTTGCACAGCCATCTGCCTCCAAACGTTCGCTTCGAAACGGTCGACATTACACACCCGCTCTCGGTCGAGCCCGAAAGCTTCGACTTGATACATGCTCGCCTGTTGTTCGTCCATGTGAGTTGTACCGTCACTGCCCATTCCAGCTCATTGACTACTATGGTCCTCAGGTGAGAGACCCAGCTGCGGTCATCGGACGTGTCGCATCGCTGCTCAAACCCGGCGGTTGGGTTGTGATTGAGGAGCCGGACGATCTTGACTTCGATGAAGACGGACGCCCGCGCGGCTTGGCCAAGCATGTCCCTGCCATTGCTCACCAGTACGATGTCTTTCGTCAGCGTGGCCTCGATCTCGCATTCTGGCGACGCCTGGAGAATGTCCTTCAGGATACGGGTGTTCTAGAGATGGTCACTGCTGTGAAGCTCGATATGCCGTTCACGAGCAGGGATCACAGTGCGTCTTACTTCCCTGCCTACAATGCAGACTCCTTTCTCACTGTGGTTCCGCAGACGAGAAGCTCCTTGCTCTAGGAAAGACTTACAGAGACGGTCTCCTAACCTTGGTCCATGCCGGCGTCACAGCTGGGCGGACTCGTTTTACATAAGAGGTGTACAATCAGACGAAGAGTGCAATGGAGGATGAGGAGAAGCAGCCGTATGGTCGTCTGTATCTTGCAAGCGGTAGAAGGAAGCTCTGAAGTAGTGTACCAAGCTGTATCAATACCCGTCTCCGAACGGACGGAGGTCGTTACTCATACGAATGTGACGTCTCTTCGAGCGCCGAAGGAGGCTGCCATTCGCCGTGTCCTGAACATAGGCTCGTTCCCATCCCGCTCGCGTGGCCGCGTGGAAGTAAAAGAAAAGACCGCGAGCCTGCGAGCCGCGGTTTTTTCGGCCTTTTCACGCGACAACCTTGCGAGCGGATTGGGGACGAGTCTATCCTGAACAGACGCCACGATGCAGGAGCAAACTTTAAAAGCGAGTGTAGGTCAAAATACAAATTCAATATACTCTACAACACCGAGACGCGTACGAACTACGACTCCATCTTGTCCTCAGCCTCATACCCCGGATTCTTTTGCAAGATGACGAAGCCCTCCAACACGTTCGCGAACGGGAAGAACTCGTCCGTCGCCAACTCCGCCCTTTCCGTTGTTGCAACCCTGACAGGCGTGTTGTATGTCTGGAAGCCGCTGATGGTACGAGGCTTGCCGGCTTGGCCCACGACGTCGACAGCTTGGCCCACGCGCACGGAGACGGGTTTGGGCGTCAAGTCCTCGTCGAGCGTGATGAGGAAGCGAGGGTACATGGAGGGCACGAGGAAGTAGAGCATCCAGTGTGCGCGGTCGAGAATGAAGCCCTTCGCGTCCGTGAAGGCTGTGAGAACCGCGAGCAGACCTGCTGTTCCTGCGCGATGCAACACACCACGGTCTGCAAAGAAGGGTGCGACACCGATCGTGCCCTTGCCCATGTGTACGAGACCCTGGGCGACCCGGACCATGAACAGGCAGTCGGGCTCCTTCGCGTAGTACCCCGCGAGTTGACGGAGCATCTGTGCGAGACGAGCGTTATTGGTTCCGGCGCCGATCAGACCCATTGCGAAGATGGCATTGAGCGCTACGGCGAGGTCGTTGTCGTGAGAGTACTTGGAGAGGGTGTCCATGATCGAGAGTTGAGGGTTGGATGCGGAGATAAGACCAAGGCCAAGAGGGACTGTTCTCCTTAGGACGGGCTCGCCGTAGTGCATCTGTGAATCGACGAAGTCAGTTCTGTCTTCTGACTCTATAAGATAGAACTTACGAGGTGGTTGAACTGCCTCAACGCCATTTGGGAACCGATCTCCTCGCCCATGGCGACGAGGGCGATACCCATAACAGCGAACGCTTGGAACGTATCATCCTTCTTCTCCTTCTCTTTCTTCTCGCCATCACCCTCCTCCTTCTTCTCACCCTCTGCCGCCTGCCCTTCAGCCTGTCCCTCCACTGGCGCTTCGCCCTCCTTCTTCTCGCCCTCGCCCTCCTCTTCATCAACAAGATGCTCGTCGCAATAATGCAACATCTCCTGGACCTTCAATACGTTGCCCGATCCAGCGTATGCACACATTTGCACGAGAATCAACGCCTGCTGGGAGACCGGATGCGGGATCGCCTTGAGCGTCTCGACAGTTGCGTCGTACGAGTCCGTGCCCTGCACGCCGAGGTACAATAACGCGAGACCCAGCGCCATAAAGCGTGCCCATTTCTCGTTCAGATATTTGTCCTCGCGCTCCATAAGCGTCTGGAGGATTGTCGAGCTTGCGTCGCCGTTCTCGCTTCCGACGAAGATGAAGCCGACGGCCAGCGCCGCGAGAGAAGTAACTTCCATGCTGACGCCATCGTCCGCAATGATGGGGAGGAGCATGGCGAGAAGGTCTTCGCGCAATGAGCCGGCATAGGCGATGCCGAGTCCGACGATGGCCATCGTGCGTAATGGTACACTTTTGTTCTCCGTGTGCTCCCCGAGAAGCGCGAGTGCTGCATCGGCCTCTGACTGCACATTGGAGTGGATGATACCCGTGGCAAGCAGTGCGCCGGCCTTGACGTATTCCTCTGCGCTATACGTGTACCTGTCGACGTGGGAAAGGCCGACGTCGGCATCCCAGAGGAGCGATACACCGAGCGATGCGGCGGCGGAGAGCATGCCGTGGTCCTTGTTCTTGTAGATCCACGAGTTGCCTTGCTCGGCTTCGACCATGAGCTTGTCGTTGCCGTACCCGGCGTTGACGAACGCGTTGACGAATGTACCTGCCAAGTTGGCACGAGCAGAGTCGACGTTAGCAGGTGCGGCGCCACCTGGTAGATACCAGACGTTAGCGTCGGGACTTCTAGCGTGAAGCGAGGGAGATGCACGTACGGGAGTTCTCGAGATGGCTCTTGTAGACATCCTCGAGTGATTTGGCGTCCCCAACACCGACGTCCTTGCCGAACGAGCGGAAATGCTCGCTCAACTTGGTGTTGTAGAGGATCTCCTGCAGGTCTTCCGGCAGGTCCTCAACAACCTGTTCGCCTTCTCCATCATCCGTTGTGCTGAGCAGCCACTGCACCGGCGTCCCAGCTCTTGCCAAGATGAACGCGAGCTGTTTGCGCATTGCAGGGTTACCAGGCGCAGCGAAGTCCGCTCGTACGAGTTCAGGATCGTTCAACCTGAGCGAGACAGCAAGTGCCTCAGGCCAGCGCGCAAACTTCTCATAGACTGAGTGCACAGTGCGAAGGAATGCTACGTCGTCCTGAGGCGGCAGAAGTGGTACACAGGCGAGCATGTACGCGGCGACGCGTCGGAAAGTGTTCTCGTCGACCATTTCCACCACGCGATCGGCAATTTCTAGTTCCTCGAGCAAGTCGACAGCGTCGGGTTCGGCATTATGTCCGATCAGGAACTTAGCGCACGTTACAGCCAGATTCTGCAAGTCGTCCACAGTGCCGAATGAGAGAGATTTCAACTCTGCTGCAGCCTTCTTCGCCTCTTCGCTATCTGCGGCCGAATCTGTCGGTTCTGGTACTGCGGGTCCACCCGATGCGGCTTCTTGAGTGCGCAGGTCGAACTCTTCGCCGAGCTCGGCGGCTAGATGGCGGACGTATTCGTGACCCCATTCGCCTGGCGCGTCAAGTGGCGATGTTGAAGGACGCATGGAAGAGGCGAGAAGGCGATAGCGCAGAGTCCCTCTAGGCTCCGTGTCTGAGTATGTCATTGCGAGCACCGAGAGGATATCTGCAAACAGGCTCTGTACGCGTGATCAGCGTTCATGTATTGGTACACATGTACTGCCAGTACTAACCTTGTCTTCCGACGCGGGCCATGTCGTATATAATGTTTCGAGATCGTGGTAGTGCGGTCGCAAGAATTTGAGGGGTTTGGGCACTGAGGTCATGGAAGAGGTAGATGTGCGGATGAGCGTCCGTAGCGTTTCGAGCGCGGGCCTATACAGTGTCGTATCCGACTCCTACGGCAAATGTCAAGCTTATCTAGTCATGAAATAAACTATACCATACCTTTAAGCGCTCAATAAGCATCTCCAACTCTCCCTGTAGCTGCAGATCCTCTTCTGACTAGTAAACGCGCGCATGAGCAAGGGCTGACGCGTCTCGAAAGTGAAATACGCACGAGATCCTCATCCTTCTTGTCGTCTTGCGTAGGTTTTGCGGGAGTCTGGCCGGGCTTTTCCTCTTTCTTCTTTGGGTCCCTTGATGGGACGGCTAATTCGACGGCGGAGGGATCTGACATGGTGGTGGCGGAGTGTGCGCACGTCTCGCGACGCGTCCAAGGCAATTACGCGTCGCGTTCGCGCGCCGCGTGCTCATGAGCACACGCGTACGCGTCCCTCGCCTTCGCACCGTGACTCCAATTGCCCAAACCTGATCTCTCCACCCAATCAGAAGACGTCGACATAGCCGTCTAGATGATTGATTCAAGTTCGAGACTGATCACCGAACGCAAAGGCATGACTTAGGCCTTGTACAGGCTGTGTGTTCCCGCTAATTCGGTTCTGACCCAACATCCATACTTAATAAGTGTACACGTATGCCACCACAAAATTGAATCCTTCACTACCGCACGAGATGATCGGGGCAAAAATGGGCTCAGGAGTATAACTCAAGGATCTCCGCTGCCATCTGGAAATGCAGGTTTATTACAGAGACTCGGACCAAGGAAAGCGAGGCGAGATGAGCTCACCTTTTCAGCTATGGCATACACAGTGGCCTGTGTATTAGCTGAGATGTGCGAGGGAATTATGCTGGCATCTATGACACGCAGGTTAGATGTCCCGTAAACCTTCAAGGTGTCGTCCACCACGCCTGGACTAGGGTGAAACCAAGAACTTGTCCTAAGCATATACCGCGTACCTCCACGCTCTCTTGGGGCCATGACCGCTGTACCGATGAGGTGATCTCCACCCTACAAACGCGTCAGCAAACAAGTCGCGTCATTAGACACTACGCCACGAACGACCGACGTCTCTCGGACATAACTATAGCGAATAACAGTAAGCAAGGTTCCACAGTATCACAGGGAAATGGCACGTGCGTCAACAAGTCAGCATCACTTTGCACGGAAGGCAAAGGGACATTCCGCTCTGCGATGATAGAGGCGAAGGGCTCGTGGCGACCGATGCTCAAGATGTATCTGATAACATCGAGCAAGAGCTCAGCATCTGCTGGAATGTCAGATGGAGTCCAGTGGGATGTGGGCTGGGTGATACCAAAAGACTTCGTAAGGAACCCAAGGTCGATCGTGGGAGCGTCCAAGGCAGAACTGGTGTTAATATGCTACAGTACAGCCGCCCTGATTATTTTGGTGAATACAATCGCTAGGACGGGGTTGCGTACCACTGAGCCGCGACTCATGGGGTGCTAGCGTCGATCTATCAGTCACTATCCGAACATTACTGCCGTGCATATGACACATACCGATACACACCCTAGTATATACACATAGCTGGTATTGGGCGCTACATTGACCCGCCCGGAACTCCATTGTATGATTTGGCTGATGGAAACGGCACCCTGCGCGAGTAGAGCGCGTTGAACTGGATACTGCAGCGATTGTATCGTCGACTCGTCTGCTCCGAGGGACTCTGCATCGAAGAGTGAAAGTAAGTCCCTCAGCCTATCTGGAGCCAGGAAATCGTGAGGAGGTAGAAATGCCATTAAACTGTCTACATCGGTCCATAGTCCCGTTCCGGTCCTATTGCTTCGTTCCGGTTTATACTCAGCAGTTGCAACAAGCATGGCGAGCCTTTGACGTACTATAAGGAACGTTGTTCTTCGGCGAGGGTAGTATTTGATCTAAGAACATCTAGAAAGACATCAGTCCCTCCCTCCGACTCCGCCTCAGTCCCTCGGGCTTACCCCACGTGAAATGACCTGGCTTCAACTCCCATTGAGCGCCGACAAACAGGTGCTCCTGAGATAGTGTCAATAAAATCGAAGCATAGATATACTTAGCATGTATACCTGAAGGTTTTCCCCCACGCCTGGGAGGTCCATCAGGACATCAACGCCTGCTTTCCGCAGGAGTCTCGTATCTCCGATTCCTATTCTGCTGATAAGACTTCACGATATCGTCGAGCGTCGAGTGCCGCTGACCAGAGAGCTCAAGAAGCTGAGGAGACTGCACCGAACCTGCGGCAAGAACAACCTCATGCTTCGTCTGTACGGCATAGAGAGTCCCATTCACGGTTATCTCCACGCCTGTCGCACGTAGTAATCCGGGAGATTTATTGAAGAGAACCCGAGTTGCCTAATTGGTGTGACACAGACGAGTTTGGCGAGTGCTGTAAGATAACTTTCTTACCTGAGCACCAGTAAGGATCTTGAAGTTGCCGGTCATGCGTCTACCGCACAGATATCCTTTAGGTGAGTAACTCCTGGAACCACTTTGTCTATCCACGGAAACATATACATTGTACAATCCTGTGGCATCTCCGTCGTCCTGAAACCGCATTGTCAGTGAGCATGGTCTTCTCCGGGCATGAGCACCACTTGCCGCTTCCGCGTTGGTCCTTATTCCCATGCCATTTAATGTCTCGGCAATTGTGAGCGCAGGATCGGGGTAGAAAACATTCCGAGAAGCCTGTACGGTGGGTTGACAGGCGTGAAGGCTATAGTTTGTGTATGATGCATCACTTACTTTGATGGGCCCATCAAAGCCGGCCACTCGCGGCAAATCGTCGGAAGCTTGCTGTCGTTGAGCCGGGCTTATTCCCGGATATGGGTCCGCTGGATGCAAGTTCACAGATTCTGCGCGCTTGAAGAACGGCAGGAGCGCGTTCCAGGTCCAAGCAGGCGACGAGAAGTTGCTCCAGACATCGTATTCTGGGCTAGATGCTCGGTTCCAAGCCAAAGCATTCAATCCGCTAGATCCGCCGAGCATCTTCCCTCTGCGCCGACCGGATTGGAGTGAAAGACCCTGATTAGTACAGTCATGCAGGATGAAAGCATAGAGCATCCATACCGAGGCACGCTAATATTCCTTCCTGCTGCACTCCGCTGGCTGATCGAGAGAAAATTCCAGTCGTAGTCCGGGTTCTGAATCGCTTCCCCCCAGAAACCTGCAGAACGTATTCTTCTTAGGATATTATCTGCACGATGACTGGGGAACGGACCAGGTATGTCAACAAGAGGGTCATCCACGTGAAATGCACCGGCCTCGATAAGACCTATGTTAAGGTGGCTGTTCTGGGCAAGTCTGCACTTGGCTCAGAGAAAAATAAACACCGCGTCGTGAATCTCGTACCTGGCCGCGAGAGCAATGCCCGCGGTGCCACCGCCTGTGATGAGGTTGTCATTAGGAAAGTATATCAGCCCGATGGTCGACACTCACCAATGACCACGATATCGAACGGGGAGCCCACAAAGTCGTTCACATCTGCTTTCGACGGCGGGTTAGTAAGAGAAGGACAGGACGACGCCCGTATAATCTCAGGGGCGAGACAGACGGAAAGCACGATCCAAGTTAACCAGGACGCCATGCCTTCACATGTTCCCGGTTCGTGAGCCTTAAAAGGGGCCTGAGTGATCGCACCGCGAGAATACACCTAGCTCATCTGTTTCACTACGCCTTCGAACAGCGTGGTACGATGCGTCGGGAGTGAATCAGATTTATCCCACTTCTAGAGATGTTCTACGTTTCACGATCCAGGAAGCGAATTGAACGCATCATCATCATCTAGAGTACGTGCGTCTTTGACTAGTGGTGAGATTCATATGTCGAGTGGACACATAGGATGCAGTACAAACCGTACTCTTCCGAAGCGGAGAGCACATGACCGGCTGTTGGCAGCGCAAGGCATTAACGCGTATACGTATGGGCATGAATGATGAGGACGAACGTGGTGGGTGCGGAAGGCGATGGTGATAAGAACTATGTTTGACGCCAGCATGGCAATTGTGCGACCGCGATCGCGGTTGAACGTTGAACTCGGCTTCTCTCCTTCTCTTTCGCCCATCTCGCATGCGATCGCCCCGTGGATTCTCCCATAGACGGATATCAAGCAGCGTTTGAGAGGCTACATACGTATGCATAGCACTATTTCGGGTTTCTGAAACTTGAAGCTTGAGGATTCGCCCGTAAATGAGCTCCGAGTCGTGCAGCTGAGCTGGTGCACGTGGTGGTTGTAAATGGGGTCGCGACTTTTATGGTCACCATGCGACTCGAGGCTTGGCACGTAGTCGACCCAAAACTCGATCGACCGGCGTAATCGGAACAGAGCGCTCGGTCTCATGAAGTGGTGGGGAAGAGACCATGGTCTGCGTACGATTGGGGCATGATGGGGGCCGCGAAGACGTGGATACCTGAGTGTCAACATGACGCGTGAGTAGCACGTGGCAGTTATTTGGGCCTGGGCATGATGATGATCGATGATTTCCCATCCACCAGCGCCGTACTTGGAGTGCTTAGGTATGTAACAGTGGTCAAAAACACAGTAGCGCCAACGTTAAGATCGCCAAACTCGTTCTCGTCACCACTATCTCAATCTTTCAACCTCTCCTGTGACCCTCCTGAACGATGAACAGCTGTGCTTGGAATTCGACCTTGCACCCTTAAATACTTCAATTTCGCACTGAGCGCCCGAATGTAGACTGGCGATGTATGCCTGAGGGATCGCCACAATTGACGTGCGGCAAGTTTCCTCAGAGTATATGCAGACATTATCATCGCCACGGTGCAAGTTAAGGCTAAATATGGCCTTCAAGCTAGTGATTATACGTTAACAACCATGAAGAGTACCCGCCAATAACCTCGCCCTTTCGTCTACCACTGCAGTAAGCGGATCTATGACAACGGACGGCTACTAACAAACGTCCCCGCCAGTCAGACCACAAGAGAACACCTCAAACGGAGAAGGCGCTCAGCCGAGCATGCCCTCGCCGTCGGAGTACGCCGTCGATGAGTACGGGCTGCTCAACTCCGAGTTACGCGCGACGCGGAGGCGCTGAGATGGCGGGACGGCCTTCTCCTCGAGTCCATGTGGTGCACCGCCGTGCAAGATACCGACGCGCATCATGCTGAGCAGGTTGTGGGCGGCATTGGAATGGTCGTAGACACCGCCAAAGAAAGCCGTCGAGGCGTCCTTGCCGATGTACTTGACGAGTAGGTGGCGGCCACCGGGGTGCTCATCAAGGAAGGCGGAGACGTCGTGAATGAAGCCAGCGACGAGGAGAAGGGGGCGCTTCTCGGCCTGTTCCTGGACTACATGCATATGTCAGCGCAATGGCACGTCGTGGATAGAGCGCGAAGATAGACATACACGACTTCCACGAGACGACGGGGAGGTCGCGCGACTCTTGTGGCCACTCAATCGAATCCTGCTCGGCGCGGAGACGCTTGAGAGCCTGCGTGAGCATGCCCTTCTGGATCTCGTTCTCCGGGAAGACTTTGAGGTGCGAGGCGAGACCGAACTTGGAGGCGACCCAGATGAACCACTTGGTCGGATCGTACTGGTACCATTTGATCGCGTTGCGGAAGTCCATTGGGAACTGGTGGTGGAAGTTGTGGTAGCCCTCACCGATCGTCGCGAGCTGTGCAAGTGTACGTTAGCCATGCTATATCCATGCACGTTCGTACGAGAGGATATGCACCGCGGTGATGAAGTGGTCGCGCGGGGTGTGCTTGTCGTCGAACGGCGACTCGCCGAGCCAGTGCGCGAGCGAGTTGACGCAGAACGTCGAGTGGTGGACGAAGCACAGACGTGCGGCACCGGCGAAGAAGAAGCCACCGCGAGCATCGCCCCAGCCGAGCCATGCGACGAGGGTCGGGAAGAGGAAGCCCATGCCGATGATCAAGTAGATGTACCAGCGGTGCTGCCAGCGTACGACCTCGTTCTTGGAAAGGTCGGACACATCGGCGACACCAGGGCGGCGGCGGGGCTTGACGAGCATCCAGCCGATGTGGCTGTACCAGAAGCCCTTGTGCGCGTTGTACGGGTCGAGGTCCGTGTCGGTGTAGCGATGGTGTGCACGATGGCCGCGCGACCACCACTTGATGGATCCCTCGACGGCGCCTGCTCCAGCAGTGGCAAGGAAGTACTCCAGAGGCTTGGATGCGTTGTAGCTGCGGTGTGCCCAAAGCCTATGGTAGCCTGCGGTGATACCTGCGAAGAGACATGAGACATAGCATTTTCTTCGATAGGGGGGACAATAGGCTTACCGAGACCGGTGATGAAGTAGTAGATGACAGACCAGAGGGCGGTCTGCCAGCACCACTTTGTCGTGAAGATGCCGTAGATGGCGATGGAAGGTGTGATGGTGAGGATGGCGAGGGAGAGGTAGTTGAGTTCCGAGAAGAGGTTTTCCCAAGTGACTGGCGGCTTGGCCTTTTGCGTCTTCAGAGTGTGCTCGACGTAGTTATCGGGCACGTGAAGGTCGGCGGGCTCCTCCGCCATGGGAGTAGGCAACTTCATCGCTGCAGCGGCGGTCGACATCGCTGGTGGTGGTCGATTCAAAAGAAGCAGACACGAAGACTTGAGATTCTCCCCAACGGCTTTATACCGCCCGCCGCGCCCCGCACGCGCCACAACCCGCCAAGGTTACGTCTCCTTCCCCAAATATCTCTCTACGGACTTCCGTAGCAGCACTGCAGCTGTCGACATTCCTGACGCGCTCTGGAGGTCACTAACACGCTCTACTTTCAATATTCAACTGCTTTCAGCGTTTGATCATTCAAGCGCTTGCGGCTTGCCACACCGCCCTCGTGGCTGCGTCCCCAAAGGTTTGCTATGACGTCCCGGGCCGAGGTCCCTGGATGCCCCTAGCGCGTCATCTTTTAATTGCCGACGCGCTGACTTCGCCGTCGCTCATGATTCCACTCGGCTTCAAGTTCTAAAGCATTGGGGAGAAGAGATAGCTTGACATGTGCATGTGCTTTCTCGGCTTCTAGGGGGAAGTGGGGAGAGGTGCTGCGCCTGACCAGCCGCAGTGTACCCGAGTGGCTCCGAGTGTGCACAGAGTTGAACATTAAGTGCGAGTTCGCTGATCGTCAAAATCTATAGGGACCCGTGCAGAGCTTGAGGAGTCCTGCAACATTCCGAGTCAGAAAAGCCTAGGTTGGTACTGGATCGACTTGCATACTGCAGGCTCAGCGAGCATGGAGTATAGATAGGGAAAGCTCTTATCCTGCCGCAAGTCGACGTCGCCGACCTGTTCAACCCACGCTTTGCGCTGTTATCCACCCAGCTGGAGGCATTCGGAATACACGACAGGTCAGGCTTATGCAGAACCGGTTTCTAGAGGATTGGGAAGCGACACCCGGTGCTAGAAGATCTGTCGCTGCCCAGGTGGCGACCAGTTCTGGTCCTGCACCGTGATGGGGCAGAGCTCTATAAGTTCCTCTCAGCCGCATGCGCGAAGCATGTCCGCGGAGGCTTCGCCCTAGGCCGGGTCGAAATGGGATCCGCCATGGCAAACGTAGAGTCTGGGGCATCATATAATACTCGCTGCATCGCGAGTATGCTATATCGGTTTCGGCACCGTATAGCCCACAGCAAATCGAGACGCAGTTCTGCGCTCAGCGATTGCAGTCTGACCTAACATCAAGGGAATGAGCAAATGGGAACGTCACAGCGTCGAGTTCGATTTTCACTTGCCCGACCGGGTGGTCCAGCCCTCGCGCACGCGGCGAAACGGAAAGGTTACTTCGTCAGATCCCAGTCAGAATGTAGTGGCCTCGAGTCGGATACTATTAGCCTTGCGAAGCATGAAGGGGTTGACAGCGTGTCAATTCAAGCACAATCAAAGTGGCAGATCGAGTCTGCTTTCGTACTTGTGGACGGATTCGTAAGCTCTGAAGGCGTTGTGCATGAGAGCACCCGGTGTGCGCGGGGTGAGCGTCAGTATATACCTTTGCGCATCCAGGACATAAGCCGAGGTAGTCGCTTGCTCAATTCTACGGACCAAGTACCGCGATTGATGTTGGGACTGTTTCAGCACCCGTGCCCGGGTGCTCGCTGAGTCAAGCTCTGTCCCGTGAGGCGTCGAGGTCCAAGCGTGCCGGCTTCAACAGCGCCATGGAAGGACATCATATTCATGATATGTATTGTATGAACTATCACGGTGGTGTCCAGCTCTGAAGCCTTGTACCGCGCCAAAACAAAGTTGGCGAAGATTCGCCCGTATCGCCTGTCCCAAGACCATACGCCCATCTCAACTCGGCATCGCCCTCCAGTACACCCTTGCTCGACCCCAACGCGGAGTTCCATATTGCGGTGCCCAGTCCGCCACCTTCTTCTGGTAGATGGAGTAGCATGAGCGGTACAGGCGATGCCTGGGCGGCCAGTAAGCAGGCCTTGGTGAACGCCGACTGGGAGATCAGAGCCGCGACGAGCGTGCGGTCGGACTCTGCGCGCTGCCTCAGGGCGACTCCCTCGAGCTCGCGCAAGTACGCCGGGCCCATCTTCTTGAATTCGGCTTTGCATTGGGCTAAAACGCGTATTCGGCGCCGCGTCTGCGTGTCGGAGATATGGGCGTGTGGCAGCCACCACCATCCGGCGAGGTCGATCCCTCCGTCGGATTTACCGCCCACGCGAGAGAGGGACATGGAGAGGTGATCGCGCAGGAGGCGAAGGGAGCGTTCTTCAAAAGCTGTGCCACGCGCTACGGTGGAGAGGCTACTGGAGGATGCGTGGAGGGTGGGCGTGAGGCGCATGGGTGTATGTGAGCGATCATCAACTTGTCGGACGTCTTGCAAGGCCTGCGACATATAGCTAAGACAATATGGAAAGTACCATGGTAGTGGTGATATAATCCCTGGTAGTATATCGGCTAGTACACCCGCCTGTCAGCAGGCGGTCCGCGGGAGAGCGGGGTTCGACTCCCCGCCAGGGAGTACAATTGTCCGAGGGTTAGTTTTTAATTGTCTTGTCATATGATAACAGTGGTTAGATTAGATCCAGTCACGTGAAGCGTTCAAGGTTAAAAACTATGCACCGGTCGGCCGCTGCTATGGAGGACTGGGATGCGAGCTGTTATCGATGGAATATTGGAGGCAACACGTATAGGGGCTGCCGGGATACTGTAATGGGTATCTGACTTTGACGTGTCACGACTCGATTACACAAGTATGAGCAAAATCAGTACATACAAGCGCCACTATATACATGTCTTCACAGTATCATCTGAAACAGGAATATTGGAGAAAGTCGATAGCTCAATCACCCGTTCTTCACTCCCTGTACCGTCAGAAGTCTAGCGGGGTTGGGATTAATGCATGTTAACCAAATGATAAGCTAAAGGCTCACGACGGTTTCCTTCCGGTCATTCGCACGACGAGGTTCGTCATGGCCGCCTAAACCGCGGCTTGCCACAGAGAGACATCCGCTAGACGCACCGTCGACGTGACGCTCGCGATCCCGGAGGACGTGAACATGAATGCCTGTCGAACCTGTGCCAGAAGTCGTTGTGCTTCGCCCTTTCGGTGCCCATAACCTTGAAAGGCCCGATCGCTGATGAGTTGGAAGCTCTGACGAGTCTTGTACCGAGTTATCCTCGCGAAACGTGCGACTATTGAGCGCAGAGAGGAAGCTATTCGAATACCTGCCGACAGAAGATCAGGGAATCTGAGTCGTTGGTCGACGTGAAAGGCGCACAATTTTCCTAAGATCATACCACTATGCAGCGTCAGAAGGGCACTGGAGTCAATGTGTGAATGAGCTTACGGCGTGACATAGATAAGATCTACCGGGTAGATCTTCCATAGCGCTAGAGTGAGACCAGCGACAACCATAGTCAAGAGTCCCGTCTGCACAGTGTTGGCGATGAGGCGATCATACAACGTCTGAGACTGTAACCAGGTTGTTTGTGACCGAGCCCGATACAGCTAAGCAAGGTTCAGAATTGGGCCAGGTTACTCTCTCTGCGTACAGACCACGTATATCATACAACCGGCGATTATGATATCTCCAGTAAAGCCGCCAATAAGCCAGACCTGTGCAAGCAACACCATTAACGTCTCCCTCAAACAGGAGACGGCGCACACGTACATCGACACTGGCACGAATCTGGGCGAAACCGACTGTACTGCCGTGAACCCTTACATTCTGTGGACAGGGCAAAGTTCGTGAGGGATGCTGAAGGTGGGGGTCAGGAGGACATACCACAATTGGAACTTGAATGGATGCGCCAAATTGCATCAAAGAGAGCTAGTGAAGGTCAGACACTGGGTATCCGCTGCGCGGATTGCGAAGACTTGCCAAAACGACAATGGATGCCAGGGCCCGCAAAGTCCGAGATCGAGCCAGAACCCATATCCGCCTGTGTTGTGGTCAGAAGAATATACGTAAACCTGACTGGAGGAATCACGAACCATGCATAGAGAGATTGCACCATCAAAGCAACTACAAGTAGGTGTCAGCAATGAAACGCGCTTTCGCGCTATGAATGACGTACTGAGACCGTCGAAGAAGGTCAGAAGACCCGCACTCGTGGGCACGCGGGTAGCAAGAGTGACGACGTCGCCCCATATGTCCACGGAGTAGAACCAGGAATACTGGATCATGAATCCAGTTTGTATCGCATCTACGACGAAAATGGACCAGACTGTGGATGGGGCGTAACTCAGACAAAGAGATGAATTACTACGATGGCGGGCGTACCTAAGGTCCTCATCCAAAGGGGGTAGGTCGTGTGTTGCCTGCTTTTCTCGAATATATCTGCGCAACATGTCAGTATCTCTGGCGAGGCGTTATGAGGATCGGTGCGGTCACATAATTGAACAGCCAGCGTTCCAAAAAGCGCCCAGTTCAAACTCTGTCCAATAAACTAGAAGTGGACGGTGAGGATCTTGGAGCCATGCAAACTCACATGAAGTGTGCCAGGCTACTCACAATAGGACCCACGCTGTGATACCGGTTTAGCACTAGAGTAGAAGTTCGATGGGGCAGCATGGCTCACATCGACGGAGGGTTGACATGTAGAGCATCGGCGGATGGTATCGTGGTATTGGCCATCGAGGCGGATTGGGCGGCTCGGCAGGTGCGGTAAGCACTAGCAGCAGCTTTTGAGGCGCGGGGACTCAGCAAGGTAGGGCGTCTCAATCATTTCATCGCATCTGCTTCTGGCACAGATTGTTCGGATATGCATGCGTCCGGTGTCCCCGTTGAGTATTTTCAACATTGCAACGCAAAATCTTGATACGTTTGTCGGCCTTGCAACTCCTTCGCCGATCTGTACGTCTGCGCGGCTGACGAAGCAAAATTCGAAGCGGGATTGGCGATGCCAGCTCATCGACAGCAATCCCCACGAGAGCTTCACGTTGAACAGATGAATGGGAGATAACGTGAATGATGACAACGAGGAACAGAAACTCGGGGTTGAGCGTTGAGCGCTACGCGTTACGTTCTCGACCGGGTCGACCGGGTTTCATCTTCAGTTCTTGTAGCGCTCAGTTCGGAATTTCTCCAGCAGAAGGGCCGTAAAGACGATCGGAGGCGTACGAGAACCGACGCTGTGAGACAATGTGCGGGAGAAGCCTAGTAGTAGAGCTGACTGGAGGGAGTCTGTGGCAAGTCACGCTGGGATGAGCGCTTGAGCCGCTCGGGTGTCACGGCCTGTTCGTGGAGACGTCACCGCGGGCATAACAGCAAAGTTCGCTTCTTCTTCCATGACCTGATCATCCATGTTGCGTTTCCCTCCGGCGATACAAGCTCCCTCCGTCCAGTACGGAGACTGCATAGATTGCACCAATCAAGAAGGACCCCGAAACACATGATGGCGAGGATATCATTGCCGAGTCCGTAAGCGACTAGCGGTGCTTCAAGACGGGCCGACGTCCATGGGACATAGATGGTATCATACCTCTGAGTAACTCGCGAGCATGTCCGACGGCACGACGCCTCCTTCAAGAAGGAGAGCCCAGATAGGGTTGACCTCAAAGTTCTTTCGCCTCGTCTGTCGCGCCTCGCCTATTGAAGAGTCGCTTCCTCTACCTACTCCCCTTTCGCGCAAAGCACCCCGCACCCATCCTCGCATTATGTCAAACCATGCGCAGTATCGCCAGCTAGGAAAATCGGGTCTTCGCGTCTCTGTACCGATTGTAGGCATCGCTGTTCGTCTTCTCCGCAGACATGGGCTGAGATGCGTTCTGGATAGCTCGGGGCCATGTCGTTCGGGAGCGAGACCTGGAACGTGCGTCAGTTCCTCATTCTATGAACATGATTGCTCAGGGTATACAGTCTTGGGTGCTTCCGGAGGGCAAGGTACGACCCATGCGTATGTTTATGAGCGATAGATGCTTAGCGTGGCTCTTTTCAGGCTCTCCCGATCATCAAAGCCGCCTGGGACGCCGGTATCAACACCATAGACACCGCCAACATGTACTCCAACGGGGTATCTGAGGAGATAATTGCTACCTTCATCCGTCAGGTTGGCCCCCTTCCCTCCCTCCGCCGACATATCCACCGCACTAACCACTCGGGCGTTCGACTAGAATAATATACCAAGGAGCCGCGTAGTTCTCTTGACAAAAATCAGTTTCGCTCCTTCTGAGAATATGGCCGACAACAGCGCATTTACGCTTGGCTTCGCCGAAAAGCAGCGATTCATGAATCAAGGGGGCCTGTCACGTACCGCAATCTTCAACCAGACAGACGGTTGTCTCACCCGCCTGGCGACGGACTATATCGATCTGCTCCAGATTCACGCGTTCGATGACAGCGTCCCGATGGAGGAGACTATGAAGGCCTTGCATGACCTTGTATCCTCTGGAAAAGTACGATACCTCGGTGCCTGCAACCTCAAAGCATGGCAACTGGGCGAGATGAATTACGTCGCCGAGCGCCACGGCTGGACTCAGTTCACCAGCATTCAGATCGAGCATTCGCTCCTTCACCGCGTTCACGTTCGTCGTTCGCTTCTTTGCTCCAGGCATTCGCTGAGACTCCGTGTCAGGAGGTCGAGATGTTCGCGTACTGCATGTACAAAGGCATCGGAATCATAGCTTATTCGCCGCTCTATGACGGTCATCTCGCGCGTCCCCTTGGAACGGATACCGCCCGCAGCGAGGCGTTCAAGGGCACTATGTTTGCACGGCCACTTCGCGAATCGGATAAGGAGATCATTCAGAAAGCCGAGGAAATCGCCAAGAAGCGTTCGTGGACGATGTCTCAAGTGGCCCTGTCCTGGTTGACCACGAAGGTCACAAGCCCGATCGTTGGGCTGAATTCGGTGAGCCGCATCAGCCATGGAATTCTTATCCCCCTAAGAACATTACAGATCTCGCGTGTTGCAGAGAGCATCGTCGAAGACAAAGTCCTGACCGAGGAAGAAGTGAAATCGCTCGAGGCGTCGTAAGTCATGTAGCTTTGTGATTTACTTGCCAGACTGACCACCACCATTCCAGATACAAATATCGTCCTTCTCGCTTTTAATTAAAGCTGAATAGAATACGTTATCCGAGATTGGACCGTAGATTCTGTGGACTCATTGACCCGCGTGTTTCTTTCTGAATGTACTGTATCTGTACCAAGGTGGTTCGACGTGAAGCCGACTTCTTTGACTTCGTCGCCGGACGTTCCGCCGATTCGCCGGCGAGACCGCTCGTCTTGCGGATCAGCATCTGAAACTGGGAAATGAACCGCGATCGTTCTCTGACGGGTCCAGTACAGTAACGAAATACTGAATTTCCTGCTTTTGCGAGTGATGGACTTGTGTGGGAGCGGGAGTGAACGTATGAGTGGCCATGACCGTGACCGGGCGAAGGTTTTGATCAACCGTGAGTAACACATGGGTGCGCGGAGCGCGGTCCTCTGCTTCTACCGCCATTGGCCGCCATTCGGCCACTTCCTCACTAGGCTCATCTTCAGCGGCTATCGGCGTCCCAATATGATAGAGGGGACGGCATATACGGCATGATGTACGACGGCGTTCTCATACCCGTCGTGTAGTCAACGCGATTTCAAGCCGAACGCCTTCAGGGGCAGTACCCTACTAGGATCTCGCCAACAAGATACACTGGTTGTTCCCACCAACCATTCCAGGCAGGGGTCACCGGTCATTAGCGAAACTTGACTGGAAGTCTCGCCGCCATTAAAGGCCGTGGTCACGCCTGGCCTGTCAGGACTTCCCCCTTCACGATGGCGCCAATTCGGAACGCCTGTGTACGCTATGTTGGCCCCCCGGAAGGCATGTGCAAGCATGATCTCGTCCACAAAGGGTACATGCTCATCTCATTGCACATAGGGTATGTCGAGCCAGATGTACATGTCAAGTACGATGGCACGCGTACTATTGAACTCGACGACGCGGAACTAAATGGCGGATTCATACTCAAGACCCTTTGCCTGAGTATCGACCCCTACATGCGCGGCAGGATGTGTAAGCCCGAAACGGTCCTGTACTTTGGTGCTTTTGAACCCGGAAGACCGTATGTTTGCTATATCATTTCATACATGCGTCCTTGTATTCACAACGTTATGGAGACTCTCTGGCTATGGTGTTGGTCAAGTCGTTCGTTCGGAGGATCCGGCTTTCCGGCCTGGCGAGGTTGTACATGGCTGGATGTCTCACGAAGAGTACTCCGTGTACAGCTGTCGTTCAATAACCATCATGCCCTTTCGTAAGATCGCGGATGTCGGCGTGCCGTGGTCAGTCTACACTGGTATCCTTGGCGTTCCCGGTCAGTCAACTTAGCTCCAGTCTGCTATGCGATATTCTCACGGCTGTGCTCAGGGCAGACTGCGTTTTATGCCTGGAAAGCATATAGCCAGAGTAGACCTGGAGAATGCGCCTTCATTTCTACAGCTGCTGGCGCCGTCGGATCGCTGGTCGTGCAACTAGCAAAACGGGATGGACTCCGAGTGATTGCATCTTCCGGAACCGAGGACAAGCGAGCATTCGCTCTGCAATGCGGTGCTGACGTTTCGTTCAACTACAAGAACGAGAAAGTTGCAGATGTTCTCGCGCGCGAGGCGAAAGGTATCGACATCTACTTCGATAATGTCGGTGGCGAACATCTCGAAACAGCACTGGCGTACTCGAATCATGCTGGGCGATTCATCGAGTGTGGTATGGCATCGTTATACAATGGCCAAAGACCGCATCATGTCGAGGTATATACGTCTCTTCCCCTCGTTGTCCTGAAAGACTGTCTAATCCATCATGTGTAGAATCTCCAGTTGATTATAATCAGGGAGATCACTCTTCAGGGTGTCTTCTGTCACTCACCGCGGTTTCGAGCACAGTACGAAGATGAGTTCTATTCGGTCATAACGCAGATGGTGAAGGACGGCACTCTCAAGTACAGAGAGCACATCTCATACGGGCTCGAGACAGTGGGCCACGCCTTGCGTGACGTTGGTATGGGTACGAACGTCGGGAAACGGGTCGTTGTCCTGGACAGTAGTACCCCATAGATAAGCGAGTGATTCGAACTCATTTATCGAGTTATCTTTTTGCCCCGCAAATACGGTACCTTGGCCAAGGCGCAACGTGGGTTCTAGGAAGAGCTTGAGGAATCAAGTATGCCGGCTACAGCGTACCTGGACAAAAGGTCTTTGTAAGGGCTTGAGGCTACCCCTGCTGCAACCAAATACCGCTCGTTGGGCCGTGAGGCTGTCGACTCGAACCAGTCCCGCTCCGCTCGAGCACCTGCATCTCAGGAAGATCCGGTGCTGGGACTGGTTAGAGTCTAGTGAGGCTGTGTGTCAGGCCAGCTTTGGCTCGGGAAGGGACTGCGTGATTCCATGTTGCATAGCACCTCTTGCATAACCGCATCTGAGTGCAATGAGAGCAAAACAGCAAATGGTGCACAACCCAGTCTCTGCCAGTGATTTGTTGCCCGTTCTGGGGCATCATGAGTACGCGCTGCGACCACCAGATATTGCAGCGGCCAACCGTAACGCTGGAGTTATGAACAACCTCTGATGCACTGGCCTCTGATGCGTGGATGGTAGTGAACTTGCACCCACCCTCCGTCTACCCGTGTGGTCAGTCTGAGATCTTGACACATCACGCAGTTGAGATAGAATGCCGGCCATCTTGTTCTTCTGTATGCGTGACCTGATACGCATGCCTACCTTGTCTATTGCGGCTTTTCAAGGCCATAGAGAAGCTTCAACGGACCCCGGAAGGGCAGGAAAGGCAGGCGGCTCGCTATTCCGCAGTGGAGCTTCCTCTCTCTCTCCGTACCTGCATGACGATAGTGTTCGTTTGCGCCAGATTACGATCGAACCCACTCAGAAGACCTATTCAAGATTGCTGTACACTAGTAGGGCTTGAGTTTCAGGCATCTAAATATACAGAATTCCACGCCGGGCATGCAAAGGTAACAGGAACGCAGCCATCAGCCATACCTATTTCACGCCTTCTGTAAGTTCATCGCTAAGTTCACTCGCTATGCGGACGCACTCACGTTGTACATGCGATAGGTGATTGTATCGGCCGCTGATGTTCTGTAGGCGAAACACCGTATCCCGACTAACATGCCTATTGCAAAGAGACAGCAACGGCTCACAACCCCGATGCCCCAGTATCTTCCTAGCAGTATCGACCAGGAGCCCATAGCCACCAGAGTGAAAACGCGCGAGAACTCCGGTGCATAGATGGGGAACGTGACTCTGCCGATAGCGGCATCTCCTGCCTGGTCAGGAAAATCTTGAAGCTGAACTGTCGTGAAGATAATCATTCCGCTCAAGCCCACTGCGGCAATAGACAATTGATCGAGGACACGGGTTCCCCCTACATACGGAGTCAGTCGACACGGTGCACATGAGAAAGGCCCCTCGAATCTCACCTAGTAACAATGTTGCACCGGCCTGAAACGCCGTATATCCGCATATATTGCAGAAATTTTTACCTATTGGGTGTCTAGCGAGCCCACACTCGTCGTACAAGACGGTGGTGAAGACGATCATGCTGCTGAACGCGATCGTTCCGAACCCGTACACTGCTGACAGTGCAATACATATGGCGACCATCACTTTGCGTAGTGCCACAGCTTGCGAGCACGAGACTCGTCCCGATGGTAGCGGTCTCCAGGGCCTGTTCAGGGCGTCCTCGTTCTTGCTGTTCGCCTGGTTGGACACATTGCAAAGCAAGAGATGCCACCAGACCCATATGCACGCATTCCAGAAGTTTGCTGAAGATTGCACGGGGGCGGTGCCAGAGCCGAAGGCTAGCTGTGAGCCAAAAATCAGTTCTTGACTCGATTCGGCCGTAGAGATGAGCGAGAAAACTTACAACAGGAAAGAATATTGTTTTGTAGTCTGTCCACGTGAAGAGAACGGCAGTGTATATGTGGTATGCGGCATTACGAGCAAACCACGATCGTAAAGATGTACGACGTTGTAGCGACATGACGGGGTCGTATGCAAAGGATTGGCATGCCCCAATTGAGAGTGAGGAGGTCAAGGTTTAAAGCATGCCGCAAAACCCGAAACGGCAAGTCAACAATCAGTGGTGTTCACGATGAAGCCCGGATCTCTAATCAGTAGAGACCTACGTTTCATTGGGGTGCACATACCCGTGGTTTGGCTCGGGCACATTGCCTTTCGTCAGATCATGCTTCAAGCAGGAGATACGCCCGGACGTTCTCGCGTTCCAGAACACCAGGCTGAAGTTTCGACGTAAGGCCGCCGTGTATCATCTTCGACGGGAAAGCAAGAAGCGTAATATGGCGGGTCAGGGAGGTATCGCAGTGGCTCACACTAGTACGAGTTCCGTGGTGAAGATTAAGATAGCATACAGTCGAGGCAATCGGAGCAGGGGTCATAGACAACGGCGGTGATACGGATCCTGCAACTTGACGGCAATCCACATGGCCACTAGTCGTCGTCCAGCGAGCGCAACTGAAGCTTCGTGGGCCTGCGCCCGCCTTTGCTGTCGCTGCGATTGCGATGCTTGGCTCGCACGACTAAGAGAGCAGCCTACACGATAGATATCACAACCGTGATCGCACACATACTCTGAAATCTTAGCTACAGGGCCAGCCGGCCATAGAGCCACGTTTCATCTCCCTACGCCAGCGCGATACTAAGATCAGCGGACGGTGCGAGGTGAGAGAATGCAAGGGAACAACATCACACGACGCCGCTACGTTCTTACGCCGCCCGTCAACTCTTGCAGGGATGCGATTGGGAAACCGACAGCTCAGGAGGTTGTCTTCTGCTTTGAACAATTCATCAGGGACGATCAATGGATCCCGAGTGGAGGAAGCACATCCCGACCGGCTTCAAACGACGGCAATATCTAGGACACTCTCAGGCTGCGAGACGCCTTCGCCGTCTGAAAATCGAAGGAAGCCTGGTCATGGGATCGAACTGGCACCGCTAGCAGGAGCTCGAGGCTCGAGAGCAGGGGCTTGGGACCGGTGGGGGTGACATGATTCCTAAGTCGCACGGATGAAATACACCAGAAGACGTATATGTTAACCCAACAGGATTGGTGAAGCAGATGAGTGCAGAAGATCATGGAGTCCGTTGAGTTCAAACGCCGCGACCCGTGAACGTCGGGTGCCGTTCGGCTTTTGCCGAATGTGAGAAGTCTTCGGCAGTCTTCGGCGAAGACAGACTTCGTCTCCCGCCATTCACATCATGACATCGCGTACACTGTGACTCCGCCATCGGCGGATCTACAGGCGGAAGCGACTCGCGGAGTAAATCACGCCAGCTTAAGGGGAAGAGGCACTCGCGAGACATCACACATACCCGTCCATACGTCCCTCCTGTCTGCACCCGCCACATGCCGTACCATATCATGGACACCATTGCGCCGACATATGCTTGTATTTTCGCTGCAATCCTTGTACCTCTTATCTGGCTCTCGACTTCCAAAAGGTCCAATGTACCTGGCCCTCGTCCACTACCCGTCATAGGCAACCTTCTCGATCTTCTGTCTGCGGGTGACCCTTGGGGTATATTCACGACTTGGAAGGTGTCATACGGTACGCTAACGAGCTTCCCGTGTATGAATCCACGCTCTGACCGCGGGTGTACTGACAGGCGACGTGGTTGGCCTACGTGTATTCGGCACCAACATCATAGTCTTGAACTCCATGCAAGCATTCAACGAGTTATTGAATAAACGGGCCAGCAAGTACTCTCATCGACCAGTCTTTACTGTCGTATGTGAGCTCATGAAGATGGGAAAGGTGCGATGACTTCTCCAACGCGTCGAAAAGTGTCCCGATTCACAGAATAGAGCATGCCTTTGAGAGATTACGATGAAGAATGGCGAGAAATGCGTAGGATATCGCACAATGCCCTCGGAACGCAACCTGTCAAGCAATACCACCGTATGCAGGAGGATATGGCCGCCTTGTTTGCGCGCGATGTCCTCGACGAACCCTCGAACTTCCGTGTCATCCTTCGCATGTCGGTATACCACGAGCTCGTGACAGCCGGCCCATACTCATAGCACCTCGCCAGGTACTCGAGTCGCATCATACTATCCTTGACATACGGTCTTTCTGCGCAGGAGGCAGATGATGCGGTGCGGCTATCTCTCTGCGCTGTTTTAGGGAGTACTCAACAGGCACAGTATGTCGAGCACGCGGAGAATACAATGAACATCATACGTGAATCTGCAGTTGTCGGTGCATACTTATGTGATCTTTTACCTATGAGTGAGTCCTGTTCAGCTAGCTTCTTCAATATCCAATCATGTTTACTGGAAGAAGTGAAGCATTTGCCTTCGTGGCTGCCATTCCAACGTCGCGCGGCTCGCGGGCGAGCAATGGTTCACAGAATGGTGACAGAACCTTTTCTTCGGGTGCAGCGTGACATGGTGTGTCATTGTATACGACTTGTGCATTAGAAGAAGTTTGACAAGGTCTTGAGTCCGAGGGAAAAGCGCGCCCTTCCCTGGCTCGCGATTTCCTGAACCAAAACGAAGGTGCGCTCACCGAAACGAGTTATGAACGCTTGTTATGGACGGCCGGTACGCCTACGTACCTTGTGCTCAGCCTTGCACCAATGCTTATGGGGATCACACAGCTTCCATGTATGCAGGTGGGTGGGATCCAAGACTACGCAGATGAAGCCACTAATCCCGTATGGTCCCGCAGCTGGAGCTGAATCCGTGCGTCGCTCCGATTTGGTCCCGCAGTCCTGAGTTGACAGTATGAAGTCATATGCTACTACATTGACGTTCATTCTAGCGATGACGCTCTACCCCGGTAGCCAGCAGACGGCCCAGCAAGAGCTTGACAATGTCTTGGGTTTCGGTAGTCTCCCCACGATTGCAGATCGGGAGCGTTTGCCGTATATACAGGCTCTTGTCAAGGAAACGATGCGATGGCATCCCATGCTTCCTCTCAGTCAGTTCTCGCCCCTTCTTTTGACCCACGTGTACTGACTGTAGACAGGTTTCCCGAGGCGCACGGCGCAGAGCGACGAGTATCGCGGGTTCACCATTCCGGCGAACACCATTGTCATTCCAAATGTTTGGTTAGTACCGAAGTAAGAGATAATTCAAATTGCACTCAGCCGAATTTAGGTCAGTAGCGTTTGAACCGAACCCCAGACACCCCCCGGAGGATTTCATTCCGGAACGTTTTCTTGATATCGAATCTATGTCGGTGGATCCCGCATCCTGGGCTTTCGGTTTCGGTCGCCGGTACGTGAACAGCAAGCTCACATGCACACTCGCTCACGAACTGATTCAGGATATGTCCCGGAAAACTCCTGGGGGAGAACAATATCTTCATCCTGATTAGCACTCTACTGGTATCATTCAAAATCCTACCCCCTGAGGGAGGATATAAGAGAAAGCCAATGTTCGTTGCAGACCTCGGAAGGTGCGCACCGAAGCCAGTGAATCAATGCGGATCAATTGCTGACTCCTCGTAGTTTTCCGGAGCCGTTTGACTGTCAGATAGTCCCGCGTTCTCAGGTACATGAGCTCAATGTAAGATCGAGAGCGGCCAAGAGTACCGCATGATCCTGCTTCTATACGGCACTTGTAGGTACATTTCATCGTCAATCACTTTGCATAGGAGTCGTCATCGTCGCTTGCGAGCCAATCAAGAACTCAGCGTGTGCAGTGCGCGCGCCTTGTATCTTACCATGAGCGGAGCCATGCAACACCCGCACGTGCGAGGTAGCTCGAGCCTGGGTCACCGACGACACTGACAGGGGCGCAACCCTGTTCCTGGTACCGATAGGTAACACCTTATCCCGCCCGAAATGCTCTGCGACGAGGCGGACGCACACGTACCTGCGAGCCCTAATGGCTCCACTAGCCATTCTTAAAAATGTACTGGGGAAAGGGTAAGGTGGGTGTGGCTCGCAGCAGTTGACCGTGAAAGTCAGAACACAATTCAGGCGACGGGAGATTTTTGATTTTGTATACGCGCGTAAGTAGCCCCGAGAGCTTAGGCTGTTGTTAGGCTGCCCGTAGTATTATACTCAAATTCTATGGAATGATGACACATTTTACGAAGCGAATTCCGTACTACCCTTGCCCATCAGACCTGGGAAAACCAAACGTTGGCTGCATGATCTGGTGTGTACGCTATGGCGGTCAGAACGTTCGGGAATTCGAGCATTAGTATCACCCTCCTCTGCATTTCTTCACGACATTCGGGCGACTTAATTACCGAGTTTGCGCGACTTCATTCACATCTCTTCTCTGTCGCGCCGAAGTCCTGAGCCTGCGTCCCCCGCTCTCCCCTCCCGTTGGCCGTCCCGTCTGGGCGTATGCGTACCTGCGGAGCAGAGCTATCCAACGGTATCCTATTTGTGGCAGATCGAGCGAGGACGAGGGAAGGGCGGAGGAAGCGAAAGCGCCGAGACGCGGCGGCCCGAGCCGCGTGTTTGATTGACGCGCGCACACGTGCCGCGTGTGTCGCAACTCGCGTCGCCGCCTCCCTCGTACTCCTCATACGCTCTAGCCTTACATCACTCATAGTGCATAGAGTCTCATGGGTGCACCAGACCGCCTTTTGTCAAGTAAACAATTATTTCTTCCAAACCCGAAGGGCACAATGTTGTTAAATTTATTTTCTACTGAAAGACAAGGTGAAAGGCAGGAGGGGCGAGATGCTGACCTCTAAATCAGTATAAAGCAGTAGGTATATGAGCTACGACAGCGGAAGATAGCATACGAGGCTGTACGAGGAGTACGAGGGAGGCGGCGACGCGAGTTGCGACACACGCGGCAACACACGTGTGCGCGCGTCAATCAAACACGCGGCTCGGGCCGCCGCGTCTCGGCGCTTTCGCTTCCTCCGCCCTTCCCTCGTCCTCGCTCGAT